TGTTAGTTTGCATGTCTTTTGCTAGTTGTTCTTCAAAGGCTTTTTTGGCCTGCCAAATTAAACTTTTTCACTTGACTTGCCAGAGTTTATGCTCCTTTCTATTTTCCCCAGTAGGATTTGGCTTACAATTTTTAAAGGATGTCTTTTTGCTTCTAACTGCCTCTTTTACTCTGTTTTTAACCATGGTGGCATTTTTTCCCCTTTTACAATTTTTTAAATTTTGGGTTTACATTTAAATTGAGTCTCTATTATGGTGCTTTAAAAAAGTTTCCATGCAGCTTGCAAGTATTTCACCCAGAAAGTGGTCAGGAAGTGTGCAAACATAGGGACTGGTCCAATGTCCATTGAAGCCAACAAAAAGACTCCCACTGATTTCTCTAGATCAGGCCCATACAGCTCTATTTTCCAGGTACTTAAGAGTTTAGCTTAAATCAGTGAAAGCAAGGAAATTCAGAGCTAAAGCTGGCACGCTGTCCTCACCTTACCCTGTTGTGTCTAGGTAAGAGGATTTCAGAACAGTGGATGATCTTCATACCATATGTGCTGCCATCCCTTGGACAACAGCATCTGACAAAGGTAGAGACAATGTCAGTCTTTCCTCTTCTAAATGTCTTTGCTTTGCTTGGTTTACTCTGAGTGTAGAACTCACCTATTTAGAAATAATCCTTACCTTTATTACTAGCTTTAGGCTCTGATCCCCCAAACAATTATGCACACGCTTAAATAGGCCTGTGTTATGCAGTCCAACTAATCCCTCCAACAAGCTGGCAAATGAGAGAAAGTCTCCTCATAACTAGATCTGGACAAACAAATGACTTCTTGGTTCAGTGGCCAAACAAGAAAAAAAAAGTTTCAAGTGAAACAAAATCTTTTAGTTTGGAGGGTTTTTTTTGTTTTGTTTTTGTTTTTACCAGCCCCACCATCGTTCCCCTTTTCTCCCTCTCTTTTTTGTTAAATCTAGATGAATTTAAAAACAAAAAGTTGAAAAGTTTCATTTTTAAAATGTTGAAATGAAATATTTTGACTTTTTCAGAATATCCCTCCTCCCCACCCCCACTTTAATTTTGCCAAAATTGTTCACGGAATTGGAGAACATTTTAGATTGATCCAAAAATTCTTCTGCAACTAATCTATGTACTGATTTTTTTTTGTTGCCCAGCTCTGCTCATAACCGTGGTCTCTACCTAGCAGCAAGACATCTATTTTCAAAGGGAGCACAATGGGACAGCCTCACAGCACAGAATACAAGGTTTTGACAATTCTTTCCCAACTTTTTTAGGTTTGTTCCCCAACCAAGAATCTACACTCACTCAGTCAAATGTTCTGAAACAAAGAAAGAAAAGAAATAAGCTAAATACATGAAACAGTCACACTTTCTATTGAGGTTTCATTTATCTAGGGCTTTTAAAGAGTTAATAAATCATCAGCTGTCATAATTTACAGACATGAACAGTGTGTGTTACAGACTGCTATAAGCACATCAGTAGAAGGTATCATAGATATTATAAACCATGGTGATCAGCAACCTTTTGGACTATGACAACTGACTAACCATCTATTAAAACATCTATTAACCATGCACTAAGAAACTATTTATAAATGGAACCATAATACAAAGCGTGAGCCATAAGGAACAGATGTGTATGTTAGCATGCCTCTGTTCTGATGCTGGTAATATGGTTCACATTATTAACTGTAAATGTCTTGCTCCGTGTACTATTTTTGGTTTACTTTTTCTTTAATTTTTTAAAAAATAAAGACTTAAAAAAAATCAATTAAAAAATCCCAGCAAGATTTTCTCTCTTAGAGAACGTCACCAGGCTTCATTACTTCCTACACAGTGGCTTGTATCATATACTGCCTGAGTCCTTCCTAAGCTTCTTCAGGAGAGCCCTATAGCTTTCCCACAACTGATTTTACTACTTGCCATGCAAAATCCCATCAAAAGCATGGGGATTTTGTTCAGACTAAATGTAGGTTTTTGTTTGGTTTTAAATTGGGCTTTATAGCCCTGGTCCTAAAAACACGTGCTTATCTTTACACATGTGAGTAATCTCTCTAAAGTCAATGGGATACTCACATGCTTAAAGTTAAGCAGGCGCCTAAGTGTTAGTAGGATCTGGGCCTTAAATTGAAATGCAGGTATTTCATACTGGAAAATGAAAGTACCCTAGATGAACATGTACAAAAGCCTCCAAAACCTATCCTAAATAGTTTGGTTGCTTTATGCTATAATATTTAATCATGTTTGTAAAGGGCTGTTCTCACTCCCAGTGAATCATTTCACAGTATATTTTCCAACCTATATTAAACCTCCAGCAAGGATTTTTAAAAAACCACATAAGTTTACCTATTAAATTTTAAATTGGATTTGTTTTTTCCCCACCTCCTTTCCCCTGTGTCTACTTCATTTGATAAGGAGATAGGGATTGTGGGTGCTTCTCTAACAGCATACAGGGCAGAGTCCTTAGAGCAGAACAGCTGGCAGACAGACAGAATTAGAGCTTTTTAAGTGGCAAGTTATTCTACACTAGCTCCTCCACCAAGGAGCTAGATAAGTGGGGATCAAGAAGCTAGCAGGGCATATCAGGTATGGCTGAGTGGATATGCTGTGGAACAAAAGTACAGAGAGCAGAGTAGAGCTGCAGGAGTCTCCTTGCTAAGTAATGCACAATGACCACTTTAAGTCCTGCTGTATCTCTAGCCACCTTTGTCGCCCTTCTCTGGATTCTTGCAGTTAGGAAATATGACAAGATCATTGTCCTGCAATCCCTTCCTCAAGTAACAATCCAGCCAAAGTTAATGGGAATTTTGCCTGAACGAGGAGGAGTCTGTAGCTGCATACTTTAGAATACTACAAACGGTGCTCAGAACTGCCTGCAAAAATGCAGAAATGGGTAAAATAGGTTTTCATTTAAAATCCTAAACCTTGTTATTCTACCTCGATCAGTTAATCTGTAGACCTCATCCTTTTGCAAAGAGGATGGAAGGGGAAGGAGCGGTAATTTACCATCTCTAAATCCCATACAGACCAAACAGGTTTTGTGAGAGGGAACTATGCAGGGGTTGGGAAAGGGGAAATAAAATTCAACCTCCAGGCCATGGGCAGAGCAAGGAGCAGCCACACAGATGCTCCATGGCTGCTGACCCAAACCCATGAATAGGCGCTAGAGTAGGGGCTGCTAACCTTGTGCATCCCTCTGTGTGTGAGTTTCGCTGACGCTGGGTCCACTAGTAATGACTTTCCAGACTTATAGAGAGCCCAGTTCTGCTGGGTATAGAGAATGTGGAGTCCCACTGCATGCACACATCACAACTGTCTATCCCCATGCCACAGAACTGTGGCCCATAGATTTATTGGGTGAAGTATTCCATTGACTTCACTGGCACTACTCACATAAGTAAAGTTACCCATTGTGACCCAGGGAGCCCCCAGTGCCAACTGAAAGAAGGCAAACCATACCATATCTCACATTAGGCCTGACATACTCATTGCCCCAACTCACTGTTGTCATAATCTACAAGCTGTGATGTAAGGTACCATATGCAAACTGTGACACACTGGCTATTCATATTATTGTGTGATGTATAAAGAACTATACACACGTGCGGGAAATATGTTCTTAAAAGGCATTTGCAAGCTGTGCATAAGCCCAGGCTGTCCTAGACAAAGGAATGTTGTTTCGCCTGTTCCCGTGTCTTCAGTGTACATTGAGCCAGGTGATATCACCGAGGACAATGAAAAGTACATCTGCCTACAAGGTAAACAAAGTCATCAAGCTAAACAAGAGGGGAAGACTGCTTAACAATCACAACAGCGGATGTAGCCTGCACCCCCAGGAAGCCTTCCTGGCTCTTGAAACAGAGACAATAGACTTTGGGAAATTTAAGTGGAAGCAGAAAGCCATTTTGGCTTCTACCACCTGGGAGATACAAGAGTCCAGAGTTCTTGTAATCTGAGAAAGGTGGATCCTTCAGCTGAGGGGGGTTGAAGTCTCTACACACTGATTATAGGGGAGAAATCTGTTTAGACAAAGATTGTAACCTGCTGAAGTTAAGTTTTAAGCACGAGAAAGTGTGTTGTGTTTTGTTTTACTTGTAACCATATCTTTGTCTTCTATTCTTACTTATAATCACTTAATCCTCTGTTCTTTGTTTAAAATCTTGTTTTATTATACAACCATCTCCATGCTGTAGAACAGGGGTCGGCAACATTCGGCACGCGGCTCACCAGGGTAAGCGCCCTGGCGGGCTGGGCCAGTTTATTTACCTGCTGACGCGGCAA